TGAATAAGGCCCAGGCGGGATTGTCTGAACGGAATAAAGCCTATTTTCGGAACCCTTCATTTAGGGTAAATTATATAACTGGACCTAGAGTAGATTCTAGGATAAGTGATGGTGGTACTGTAAAGGCTAAGAAGCCTAGGAGACAACATGATGCTACTATTATAAAGAAGCCTAAACCTCATTCTCTTTCGGATGCTATGACTAGCAATGGAAATAGTAGCCATCAGAACCTTAGTAGTGACAGTGATAATAAGGAGATAGAAAGAGTCAGCAGTCCACCTATAGTGACTAGTCTATCAACTTCATCGAATGAGCCTCCTGGTGTTTCGATGTCATTGGACCTCGTCACGAATGTTAAGTTGATTGAAGATGCACAAGGTTGTGCAACTATAACTGTTCCTATTCCGGTTGACTGTCAGTCGAGTGATGATGAGAAGAAAGTGTTTGATGGTAACAGCCAGTCCACAGTGTTGTGTGATGACGATGCTATTGATGAGCATATGTCTTGTGTCTCCGAAACAGAACATGAAGAACAACAAGTGAGTATATCAGTTTCGAATTGCGATACTAATGTTGTTCTTTCATGTAGTGATATGAGTTATATAAAAATGGAAGAGTTCCATTCTACGGATGCTAATGCAGACCGAATCGACGCGACTTGTCTGACAGAACGGAATCATGATGACGTTGATAATAATCTGGATGTCACTGATGTGACAAATGAGTTACCGACGATGACGAATACTGATCAAACCTCCTCTGTATCAGGAGCTGGAAAGATAAATATTGATCCCACGTTATTCTACTTAAAGTCTTCTGGAGACGATGAAATGTCAAAATTGGAGATCCCACCCTTGCATATTATATATGGGTCAAGAATTTCTGTTGATAAGTTAGCATCCCGGACTTCATTGTATCTGCTGATCGGAGCAAGTGGTGGTGGATCGACGACTCATCCCCATGATAGGAAATGTAGTTCTCGGATAGGATATGACCAGTTTTACGACGTGTTGTACATGTTCGTGTGGGTTAATTGGGTAAGGTTTATACTACCGTTAGGTCATGCCACGATAGATAGAGGAATCAAGGGCCTGATGGGAAAGTATAGGTACCTAGTTAGCATGATAGGTCATATCCATGTTGGATGGCGGGTAGGCGTACTGCTGTAAGTCCTACACGTTATTCCGGTGTGGATTAGGGGATGAGTGGGAACCCTAAATAGAAGTGTCATTAACGCTTGCTCTTTTTGCATGGAGGGATTTTGCGGGCCGGTGTAGAATCCTTTTTGAATGTTTTGTGTTTTGGAAAATCCCTCCATGTTTACATATTTTTGTTATGACATGACGGACCTTTTCTGTTGACATTTTTGGTATTTTATTTGATTCCAATTTGAGATTTTATCATTGTATATTGTTATTCTTTCTATATTTTGTACTTATTTTGAAGTTTTTGTGTTTGCTTCTGAACTGTACATATGTTGTTTAAATTTGATATAATATGGCTACCGCCACATTTTTGGATTCAACATCGTGCAGTATAGGAGTTCACCTAGACCTCGGAACATTGATACTCGTTCGGAGTAATTCTGAATTGGAAGACGTAATATTAGTTAGGTATTATTTGTATTTCCATTTGTTATTTGTAAATAGACCATTTTCCCCTAGAATTATTGTGTTTTAATTTCAAAATCGGGAAGTGCGTCCAACCTACGTCTATTGGAATCGAATTGAACTGTCACGATGGAGAATACAACTACAGAAGATATTATTCAAGGAGTTTAATACAGTGAAATAGATTTGAGACAAGGAAGATTAAGTTCATGCAGAATTTAGAAGATTAGAAATTCAAAGAACCCAAAAAGTGGATAAACCTGCGTCATCGCACACGGTTTTGAGCCATATCGTTCAAAGTTTCGAACCATCGGTTGCTATCATTTCACAGAACCCCACCAAGTAGTCTAAACTCGTATGACAAACAGTTCACTTGTCATTGACTCAATAAATTTTTGACATGTTTTGCTTTCGCCGTCCCTAACATTCTTCCAGCAAAACCCTGCATCACAAAACATAGCTCGTCAAGGAGTCGAAGGTTCGATATAGGTAACACATATCCAAACCACTTCAAGTGGTCAAGATTTCCTACTTCGTCTATAGATCTGCCATACTTACCACTTACTCGTTTTCTGACGCTGATATCGCGTACTCACTTGTCCCAGGATATATGAGTTATGCTTCGAAGACTCCTGAGCTCGAATACCAGTAACGTACCTCTTTAGTTTTCATGTTTCACACCTGTAAATTAGGACATAGCTAACTGCTACTCAGCAGACTCGTCCTTTAGTTAACAAATGGCTATCTTGGCTACTCCATAAGTGACGCAAGTTGGCAAAAGTCAGTCAAGCCTTATGCAACCGTGCTGAGATTTCATTACTGGAGGCTGAGTACTGGAGCGTAGCACCCGTCCGATTGCCGCCTACCAGGTCATGGACAAACACTTCTGAGCTGTCCCATTCTGAGAGGAAAGAGCCATCCACTGCTACGAGGTTTCTTATGGTGGTAAAAAGGGATCGATTTACGACTCCAATCAGATTGACCAGTCTCCACAGACCTATACCGACATATTTAGTTCGGTCTGTATCTATATTCCCTAACATTGAACCTTATCTATATCCTCTTGTTCATTTTATTACCTTGATTCAAACAATTAATTAGCCCCTATCATCTGCCCAGTATTGATAAACTGGTTCACCGAAAAATTTGATATCTGAAATATGCCGGAGTTTCCTCAGTCGAGAATTACACACGTACTAAAAATAACCCCTCTATAGCATGTTTGCTTTTCATTAGCATGTTTATCTACTTGAAAGAATGCATAAAATAAATTCATCCACAGTACCGTAGTTGGCTTCTTATTTCCGCCGTAGTACAAATGCGGTTCGCCATAACCTTTATTTCAGGCAAATAAGTTCGGAATATCAGCGTTTCAGAAACATGCTGTAAGAAAATAGATCCATATCTGAAGGAAATTCATGAAATAACAGAAGTGTTATAGGCAACGATTCGGATTTCAGAACGTTTATTCTCGAATAGAGGCCACAGTCTCTCGGCTAGCTATGTTCTTGACTGGAATTAATAACTTAGTCAGATAAGAGGGTCAGTTAAAGTGATTTCATTATGTAATCACAGATCTACTTACTAAGGAATTTGGATCAAAAAGCTTTCAACGATGTTGCAACAGTAAAGAGTTTGGTTAGTCTGTTTCCTTTGATATCTACTACTCTGTACATCCGTGCATCGTGTATGACGATGTTTTGAAACCTAAGCTGTTGTGAATTGGGAATAATTATAAGAGCTGTTCAGACTTTCGCGCTCTTGCTCATTCGCATCAAAGCATTTGATTCACGACAAATATTACCACCAAGTTATTTGACCGACTATTATTCCACAAGCTCAAATGATCGATTTAGTCATGACAAGCTAAAGTTTCTATTATTTTACGGTGATCACTCTTTCCTTTCTGGATAGATCATTTACTGGTTGTTCTCTGAGTAGTATTTTAATTTGTGATAGCGCCATGTACCTTCAGTGACGAAAATGTGGTTTATTTCACAATCAAAAAATGCGTAAATCCAGTCAGTCCAAATGTCACCATCGAAAGGTGGAACGAACCAATATAGCAGACACTGTGATCAATAAGTCAAGAAACAATATTATCGCTGACCTCAGTAGTTTAACTGGACACACTCTAGCTTCAGGTGTTCGGTCACGCATCCACATTGCAGGGGTACGCCCTGCAATACATCATGCCTTTTTCATTCAGCCCTCGATATTCCAACTATCATTGGAATATATCTTTGATCCTTCTTCTGCTTTGATTTGACTTTGGGTGTACTCGATTTGAAAGTTGTTACGGTCATTAACGTTGTCTAACTAAGAATATCTATGGCGTAGCTTAACGGAATGTACAGCTCAAGTGATCAAGAAGAATAAATTACGAAAGTGTGTAGGTAGAGGGACGAAGTAGAGGCGAAAGTGAAATTTAGGATTCTACAGTCATTCAGAATCGTTTGAACGAATGTAAACTATATGTGTTAACGGTATTTTTCACTTACGTTCATTGAAGACTTTTCTGCTCTGCTGTTAGCGGAGAGTGACAATTATGAAGAGCAGACGACTAAGTCTTGCGACTTCTATGAATTCACTCATATCCTCAGTAGATCTTCATTCTGCTATATTACTTACGAAGGATGTGTCAGGTTGCAAGCACTGTCTTCTGTTCTTGATATTGGTTGAAAGTCTGATAACTGAGATAAACACATTCAACAAAGCAAACTCCTACCTTAGTACTACTGATAAAAATTATTCTGACCAGTCCCTTTTCAATTCACAACTATCAAATGTCTGAGAGGCATTACAGATGAAATCTCAAAGGCTTTCAACTTGAAAATTCGTTATTTAAGTTCCAGTGAACAATTTTTACAGGCAGATTGCCTAACATTCTTGAATGTTTGGAATAGCCAGAAAAAAATTGCTAGCTCCTCGCTAAAATTTAGCCATTCCTATCACATCTGTATGACATCTGTGTTGCCGTGGCTATGTTACTCTAATCTTGTAGCAGCGATTTACTGAATTATTTTTCTGAGATCTTATGTGCACTTTGCCTGTGTTTACATCTTGGTACACCTACTCAGCTTATCAGCTGACTAGTGCTTAACCTGCTTGAATTATATCTCATTCACTCATGGTAGTTAGCGGGATGCTTCAGGCAATTAACATGAAGATCTGAACTCAAACAATTCAGTCAGCCTATGCTTTGGGGAGTAAAATCCCCCAACCGTCTAAAAATCATATACGAACCTAGGAAGAATGATGATCCTTTATCTATTTTGAACAAAGCTGGGAATATATTGTTTACTGAGTACAATTGGACTGTTGTACACATGCGCGGCTGTTTGCATGTGGGTTTTCCTATGCAAATCGATCCTTCTATTTGACGAAGATATGTCTGCTTCTGCTGGAAACTTAGCATTAGTTTGGGATGATCTGAAAAATGGATTCGATGCTATTTTTAGGCTGGAAACAATCAAAAGAAAGAGATACATGGAGCTTCATACACATGTTTACAATTACTGTACATCAGTCGATCCAAAATCTCACACAACCCCTAGTAGGAGTTCTATAGAAACTGAACCTGGAGGAAAATTAGTGGGTTTCGAACTCTACAAAAAGTTGCGTAATTATTTAAAGGCCCATGTCCACTCCTTGAAGCTGGTAAATTACAATTCCTTTCAACTATTTTACGCTTACAGAAAGGAAATAATCTAGTTGACGAGGAAACCCTTTCATATTTCGAAAAGGCTTGGACAGAATTCCGTTTTGCTTCAAGGGTTTTGGATGGGGTTTGCAATTACTTGAATAGACATTGGGTTAAACGGGAATGTGAAGAGGGACGAAAGAATGTTTATGTCGTCTATACAGTACGTAATCCCTCCTATTGCTGAAAAATACTTTTCTTGATAAACCAGTAATTTTTAGGGAATATTCTGGTATTGTGAATCTCATTATTCGTCTTATTTTGGCTTTCCGTAGTAACTAGATTTTCTGTTCTACTCAAAGCTTTCAGCTTCTGCTTCCCAACTATTTGTAGTAACTTGTAGATTACTGTTTGAGCAGTTGAGTAGTCTGTCGTCATTGAGTATTTATTCTTTCAACCATCGGAAAGGTCTATTCGTCATGATCTACTTAGCTGTTACAGATAGCCGTTTCGCATCACATCATTTTCCCACTTCACTTTGCCCAATCTGAAGCTCTAAGCGCCTGGTTTATTTGTGTTGCCTTCTGCTTCATGATAATAATCGAAAGAAAATATAGCCAATACATAAACAAGTAGTGCTGTTTCCAACACTAACTCTGCTAAACTACTTTCCAGTTAGCTTGTTGTTAATCTGACATTTCCATCTTTCTGGCATAGCAGTTTGAACTGATGTACGTATGTAACAAGCTCTACACTGTAGCTAACCAACTGAATAAACGTATGATCTTTATCTGGGTTCTCCTAGGAAGATATTTTTCGCGTATGTATTATTTTCCTGATCCCCAATTTGTGTATATATTACTGTATCAAAAACAGTGAACACCTGGGCTACATCGGTACCCAACTCACGCTATCTCATATTGCCAACTTTTCCTTGCCATACTGGTAGAATATAAATTTTGTATCTTATACCACTGGTTAAAAGATACAGCGCCTCTGTCCGTCAGCTACAACGTAGAACTTCGTACGTACGTACATCAGTTCAAATTTCTTTATCATATTAGCACATAAATGAAGTTGTCAGTTCAAATCCTATAGTGGTGGATGTAGTAGAAGTATTACCATTAATGGTGAAGATTGGGCTCGAAGATATTTAAGAAGTATAGTCCAGGGACATTTAAAGAGGGGAACATAAAGCTGATGAGGAATTCGGAAGATTGAAATCTGAGCGAATACAAAGGCTGGATGCATCTGCGCAATTGCAGACGAATTTGAGCCATCACTTAAGCTCTCTATCCATCCGTTACTACTGTCTCACGGATCCCAGCCAGTAAAAATACGACTAGTAACATCGCCCCCTGGGGGCGGCCAAACCAAAACATAGCACAAATCCATGAAGTCACTGACAAGTGAACTGAGTCATCTTTGTAGATGTAGGCTACCTGGTTGGGGTCCTCGAGACGAAAGTCACCAATGGTTAGAGACATAGGACGACTTGGCTCAAAATCGTTTGCAATGGGGCAGGTGCATCCACTCGTTGTGTTCTCCCAGATTCTAACCTGAATTCCTCATAATCCCTACCTTTCTCCTTCTAAATTTATCTTACTGAATTATACTTCTCGAATCATATCTTCGCTCCCTAATCTTCTCCATTACTGCTAATACTTCTGCTGTCGCTACCACTGTGGAATTTGAACTGACAGTTTCGTCCCTGTGCTGATGCGGTATTGCGACCTAAGCTTATGTACTCATGTACGAAGTTTTATGTTGTAACTGACTGAGTAACATGGCCCAGTCCAGTTGTCGGTGATTTTATAGATTTCTGCCACGTTTTGGTCTGGCCACCTCTACCTATCACCCAGCGTACTTCTACACCACAAAGCATTCCTCGTCGCGGCAGTCGGTAGTTAGGCATTCGTAATACGTATCCCAACTACCTCAACTGATGAAGTTTCAATACTTAATCTATTGATCTGCGATCCTTACGTAGTACTGATTCGCTAATACCAGCATTGCCCACCTGGTAGCTCCAGGATGATGCTTTGAAGATACCGATGATCGGTCACTAGTAACCTACGAATATCCTCTACTCTTACCAGCAATGCTTTACATCTTTAAATAGAACAGAGCGAACTGCTGAGCAGTAAACTCATTCTTTTGTTACCAGATGGGTATTTTGCCTACACACTCAGTGACGTAAGTTGGCAAAAGCCAGTCGAGCCTTCAGTATCTGTGCTGAGATTTCGTTAGACACCAGGCCTTCAGTACTGATGAGAGTCCCAAGAAAAGTAAAGCGGTCGACATGCTCAATTTCTTCACTCTTTATCACTAGTTCAGATACTGATGCAAGCCAATTCTAAAGTAATATTTTGAATTTGGAGGAGAATCGCATCCCAAACGTGTTTGCATTGTTGCTCAAGGTAGTTGCAAGACTGCATTTTGTCAGCGTCTTACCAAGTAGGAGCATGTCATCGGCATATTCTAAGTCAGCGAGCGAATCTCCTGATAAAAGTCCAACTAATGAAAAGTCAGGTGATGCAAGCGTCTTATCTCAAAGTAAGTCAGTGACAAAGTTAAACATGAATGCAGAAAGTGGACTGCCCTGATGTAGACCACTTGAAGTAAGCTAGTTAGATGACAGTTCACCGTAAGCTCTGACCTGACTAGTAGTGTTCGAGTAGAGAACCTTTTTAATGTACTTCTTTGGTATCTCTGAATACATAGATATTTGGGGTTTGCAGTCGAATCTGTCAAGGACTGGTTTAAACTTGAAATGGTGACGTGAATCTCTTTAGTATCCTATAATTCATTTCATCTGATTCTACTAATTTTAGATTTGTTCAGAAATATAAGGACGGGTTCTTTGAATGTTAGCCTACCTAAATTACACCTAACAGCACCTGTGATTGTCTTTAGACTGTTGGTGTTCGGTCTACCACAAACTATGCTTCACATGACTAAATTGTCCGCTCAAACGTTTAGTGGAAAAATTATGTCTTCATCATCTGTTTGAGACTTATTCAGTCTCTTGACGACCAGTTAGCATTCCTTGGTCTCAAAACTTTTGTCCGTAAAAAAAAGTATCTAATGGATGCTTGCGTGTTTGTTTATGTAGCCTGTCTTATATTTTCGTCAGAGTACGTGACTTTTATTGCTGCCCATTCATCAGTGACGACTATACTTTATTAGTCAGCTGAATGTTCGTGTTTACTAAACTTGCTTTTTCGGTCATATATATTTATATGTACATGAAGGGCATTCGACTTTTAACCAGGAGGCTGAAAGTTTGGACCTGCTACTTCTAGTGCGTTGCTGATAGCTATCTATGTATTGCTAATAGCCTTCATACGAGCTACGCGGCTGTGAGCAATATCGATCAGATATGACTTTCATCACCTGAATAAGCCATGTAATAGTACAATTGTTTGTTGTAGACTGCCAAGTAGTTTTCTGACCTTGACCATGTTTATCGGTAATTCTTTTGTTGATTAGATACCTGAATTTTGTCGTAGCTCAGTTTATTGTTTAGCAAACTTCACAAAATAGCTTTGCTTCATTGACAGCTGTTTGCATCAAACCATTGTCATTATCAACTAGCTGTTTGAGAATACATTTTCGTAGTTCGTATTTCTTTACTGAGTTAACACCTCAGATTTTCATTTTATAAAGACCGTATAGCTATATATTCTGGTAAAAACATTTATTAGTTTCTTCACTAAGTAGTCGTTGCCCCTTCACATACAAACTTATTCGACCGTTCGATATTTCATGCCTATTTAGTAATATAAACGTAATGCATTTTTTTTTATTTATTAAAGCTTGCACTTATTACATGGCGTGAACATTTACTAAAACCTCACGCTAGAGTTTTAATCAGCGCAATTCTTCGAGAGATTGAACGTGAGAGACGTGGAGAAATTTTATCTACCTTACGGCTTAGGAAAATAATCGAGTGCCTAGTTGAGTTAGGTATTACATCTGACCAACAGTCTTTCTCAACATCTACGTTAACTGGAACTAGTTCATCTCCCAACGAACCCTTGCCATATCTAATGAAGCCTTTCAAATCTCCTAACTTTCCAACCAAACCTAGTGCTTCTTCCTCAAAACCAAATAAGTCTGAAGTGGTAAGTACTTCAAGTTACTATTTACATATAAATGCTTCATTCTTATTCTACTTATGTATTATTGTTCGTCTTGGTTTAATATAATCTAACTGGGGTCTAACTAACTGGTTAAGTTTAATTATCTTCTAACCTATAAAGTAGAAACTAGGTTTGTTAATCGATATCTTATCAGTCTGTCAGTCATGTGACGGCTAGAAAATTGTATAAGGTTGCCTTTGTGTTGTTCTATAACTTTATAATGATTCTAAGTTATTGTTCGTGAAAAAGGTTCGAAGTTGAAGATTATTTTACATTTCTTCTAGTACAGAAATTTATCATGAAAGCTCAAGGTATCCATCCAGCAAAATGTTTTTATGATCGTAAGATTATAAAGTGGTATGTTTTTTAGTGTTTTACTGTTTGAAACCAACTTAATTGGCTTTTAAGGGATGAAATGTATAGGATGATGAATACAATTCTTCTTAGTTTACATAGTTGAGCATATGGATTAGTTAATATTAGCTTTCTACAACTGATCAGATTAATATTTCTGATTTAACCATCGATTAATGTACCCTGTGGTGTTAGTAACGCTTGTCAGGTTAGTTTGAAATGACTGACCTCTTAACATTTTCTTCACGTAAATATAAACTTGACATTATCTCTAAATACTTTCTTCTCTACTAAATATCTACTTTTACCTGCCGACTTGTGCTTGAGAAAATAATAATCATAAATTGATCCAGATCGTGTAATTATTTTGTACAACACAAATTTCTAATAACATGTTTCATTGCATACAAGCTATCTTTTGTTGATCCGATCAAATGATTGTGTAATGCTTTCTAAGCAAAATTATCTTATTGACAGATATCATAAATGATATCTGTATTTGTGTATGACTGTTAACTATTGATTATTCCAAAAAATAAAGTATGTTAATGCTCTTATACTAATCAGTCACTGAGAAGTAATAAATATCACATTGTCTTATGCTGAGTGTGCTAATTGAGCTTTATCGACCAGATTAATACTACTTACTTACTTACTTGGTTCATATGCGCGAGTAATGATGGATTATTAGAAAGTAGCCTTGGATTTTATGTTTCTTATTTGTAGTACAGTGATTCTATGTTTAACCATCTTTATTTAAATCAATTGAATTTTGTTGATTCATCCTAATTCTCCTTCTGAAATGGTATGTTTAGTTATCCTACTTATTTATAATCTCAACATCAATATATTTCCGTTAAGTTTAATGTGTTTTGCAAATATTGTGGCTTTTTATTAGGAATCCAGTTATCAAGGTATATCAAATAAAAATATCCCAAATTTCCGAGGTCTACTTCATCCTGGCGATCCAGCGGATGAATCTACACCTAATACACCTAATAATAATAATGTAACAACAACATCATTGACATCTGATACACGAACCAATCTATCAGTTTATCAAGAATACTTTGAACGACCATTTTTAACTGAGACCGAACGATATTATCGGTTAGAAAGTGCTCAATTTTTACAATCGAACACAGTCCCAGAATACCTTCAAAAAGTAATGTCATATATGTTTTTGTACACGTTAATATGATAGATGATAATATTTATATTTATTACTAGTCAGTATTTTCACATTCTGAATGAAATAAAGACCTGACTTAAGTTTTTTATTGTCTAACCTTCCTTTTATTTTCTGGACTTAATTGTTATATGGCCTCATGCGAATGGTCAACTAATTTAACAAATCTATATCTTATATTTAAAGCAGGTATCTCAGCGATCCAATCATAACTTACTCCTAAGTATTAAAACTAGCTTGGATCTGCGTATTGGTGTGATCAAGATAAATACTACAAAAGCAATAAGTAATCTTCCACTTATTCATTGCAACGATATGTTATGGTCAAATGACCTGTTCGCCAAACTTTTTGATAATTGAAACAATTGCCACGCTAGTATGCAGAGTTTTCTGACTACCCTAAGCAACAATGCAAGCATGTTCGGGATGCGGTTCTTACCATCGAAATGCAGAATGTTGCTTCAGGATTGGCTTGCGACTTCACTGGAACTATTGATAGGGAGTGAAGTAGTCAAACGTGTAGACCGCTTCACTTATCTGGGGATCTCATCAGTGCTGATGGCCTGGTGACTGACGAAATCGCAGCTAGGATACAGAAGGCCCGATTGGCTTTTGCTAACCTGCGTCACCTATTGCGCAGGCGAGATGTCCGCTTGCTAACCAAAGGACAAGTGTACTGTGCAGCAGTTTGCTCGTACTACTATACGGATGCGAAACGTGGCCGTTAAGAGTAGAGCACTTTCTTAGGTTACTAGTCTTCGATCATCGGTGTCTCCGAAGCATTGCTCTTGTATCCTGGGACAACCGTATAAGCAATGCTATCGTTAGGAAACGAGTTCTAGGTAAGGATGGCAAATCAATAGATGAAGTGGTGAAACTTCATCAGTTGAGGTGGTTGGGACATGTGTTACGTATGTCTAACCACCGACTGCCTCGACGAGCTAGGGGCGGCCAAACCAAAAC